TAACACTGTATAATACAGTTGTCAACCAACGCATTTGTCTACAACATTTAAGCCTAATTCCGAAACAAATTTTTGATGCTTTTCAACAGAGAGAGGCTTTGTTAAGACATCAGCAACCATCTGATCAGTTGACAGGTACTTAATGCTCAGCACACCAGCTTCAACCAATTCTCTAATAAAATGATGCCTCACGTCAATGTGTTTAGTTCTCGCATGAAACATTGCATTCTCAGACAATTTCTGCGCTGACTGATTATCATTAAATACAACAATCTCAACTGGTGTACTAACTAAGCCCTCATTCAAAAAAGATTTAATAAATACAGCTTCTTTACAAGCATCAGAAAGTGCCATATATTCTGCTTCGGTGCTCGATAAAGCTACAGTGCGTTGTTTTCTACTCTCCCACGATGTTATCGAATTACCAATTTTGAAAACATACCCAGTGTATGACTTCCGATCAACTCCGTCACCAGCCCAATCTGCATCCGTGTAACCAGTAACATTTAATCCTGACTGTTTATAGTTAAGACAATAATCAATGGTCCCTTTTACCACCATCTTAGTTTTATCACAGTTACTGAAAAGAAAAATGTCATCAACATATAAAGCTATAATAACTAAGCTATCTTTTCCCCTTCTCAAATACACACATGGCTCCGATAATAATTTTTTAAATTTTAATTTATTTACAAGAACCAAATTAATTTTCTCATTCCAAGATTTTGGCGCTTGTTTTAAACCATATACAGCTTTGTGTAAACGATAGGCTTTATTATGGCTATTTTCAAGCTCAAAACCTTCTGGAATGTCCATATATACTATCTCCTTCAAATCACCGTTTAAAAACGCCGTTTTGACATCCATATGGTCAACATCCATGTTAAATTCAGCAGCTAGAGCTAATAGCATTCTCAATGTAGAGTATCTTACAACTGGCGAATAGGTTTCGAAATAGTCTATACCATATTTCTGTGTATATCCCTTCGCTACAAGACGTGCCTTATATTGTAAAATCTCTCCATTCAGGCCTCTCTTTTTCTTAAAAATCCATTTACACTTAACAGGTTTCTTATCCTTTGGTAAATCTTCAAGTGTCCAACAGTTATTATCTAAAAATGATTGATATTCATCATTCATTGCTGTTTTCCATTGTTGAGCCTCAGCACTACTCAATGCTTCACTCACATTCATTGGTTCATCGTCATCGAACTTCTTACCTATAAAAAACGCTGAGTGAATAGCATCTTCAAACTCACTAAAGTTTCGTGAATCATCCGTATCAAATGACGATGGACTTGGAACATACGTTGAATCTGACGTATTCAAGTCAAAATTGGACGATTGATTCTCTTCTAAGTTATCTAAGGTTTGGTCTAATTGACAACCAGTAACGTCTGGAGTTTCTTGCTCTGGCCTGGATGCAGTTAAATCTGTAAAAGTGGCATTGTCAATCCACATGATCTCCAAAGGTAACTTATCTCGTGTTGTAGGATTTCCTTGTGCATCCTTGATAAATTTATTTTCTAGGAATGCAACATCTCTTGCAACGATCACCTTAGTAGGATATGCTGGATCTATTAAACGATATCCCTTACTCGCTTCGCAATAACCTATAAACACAAACATCTTCGTTTTAGAGTCTAATTTTTTCCGTTTATTTACAACTGCATACACTAAACATCCAAAAACTCTAAGATGTTGAATATCTACCTTCTGACCACTCCACTTTTCTTGCGGTGTAACACCTCGTACAGCTTTTGTAGGTGACCTATTCTTTAAGTAAATAGCCGTCCTGGCGGCTTCACACCAAAATTCATCACCCAGACCTGCCTCACGCAACATACACCTAACTGACTCAATAATAGTCCGATTAGCCCTCTCGGCTACGCCGTTTTGCTGCGGACAATGCGGAGTTGTAGTTTCATGGCGTATACCATGGGTCTTCATAAAATCTTTAAATGAATTATTTACATACTCACCCCCGTTGTCACTTCTCAAAACCTTAATATTTTTATCCATTTCATTTTCAGCAAGTGCTTTAAATTCTTTAAAACAATCTAAAACTTGATCCTTGGTTTGGATGAAATAACCAAACGTCTTCCGCGAAAAATCATCAATAAAAGTCAATAAATATCTAGCCCCGTTTATTAAACTTTTAGGCATGGGTCCACACAAATCAGTGTGTATCAACCCTAATACGTCAGATGCTCTATTAAATGATTTTTTCGGAAAAGGTAATTTTGGTAACTTACCCTCTATACAGGTAACACACGGTTCATACTCATTACCATACGAAATTCCATCTGCCATTCCACGCTTCAGTAATCCCATACTTTTAGCATTCAGGTGTCCAAGTCTACGATGCCACGTGTTTTGATCAACACGCCTACCAGTCGACACAGGAAACGCTGACATATCTGACGTTGTTGACGGCAATGACAATATCACCGCATTCTTCTCTTGAGCTAGAGAAAGATCGAAATGTACAAATTTTGCATCAGTTACTCTATGCTGAACATTACGTGAAACTTCACACATTTGTAATTTATACAAACCATTCTCCCTTCGTGCAGTCGCTATAATATTGTCACCTAGCAGAATTTGACAAAAATCACACGAAAATAAAATTTTATACCCATCATTTGTCAATGCGTTGACTGACAACAAATTACATGACAAATTCGGTACAAATAATACATCATTTATATGTTTTAATCCCGCTTTGACTAAAAAGTTAGTACTACCACGACCCGCACTACGAAGTATTTCACCGTTTGCTACAGTAACTTCTACACTTTCATCCGGTACAAAATCAGATAAAATATCGACACTAATACACATGTGACAACTCGCGCCTGAATCAATGTAGAACGCATCTTGCCGTACAGTCGTCGATAAAGCAGATACCATCGTAGCCTTTACCGATGAACCGCTGGATGTTTCGGTTTTCTTAGTAAACCTACTAGGACAATCATTTGCATAATGTCCAGGTTTCTTACAGCGAAAACACCTTATCGGTTTCTGTTGACGTTTCACCGTTAACACTGTCTCAGCCGGTTCCGAACCGCCATTACGCCGTCGCAAATCCTCTTGTAATAGTTTCATTTTTACGAATTCGCTAGATAATTTCAGATTAGAATTTTCCAGTGCCATGATTAGTGGATCATAGCATTGTGATAATCCACTTAGCATTATTACAGCCAAAAATTCATCATCTAACGGAGTGCCAATGTCGACCAGTTGTTGAGCAATACTACATATTTGTGATAGATACGTCTCCATGTCTGCAAATTGTTCTAACTTTAGACTAAAAAGTGTACGTAACAAACCCAGTCTTCTTGTAAGACCTTTATCCTCGTACGCTTTTTCCAAGTTCTCCCAAGCTTCATATGCAGTCAGGGCATTCTGAACATGTACAACAGCCATTGGACTCAAGCTCAAACAAATTCTCGCTAGCGCCTTCTGTTGTTTTTTTCTGTCATTGCAACGAGGTTTTCCAGCATCTGTCCGTTCTATGCAGTCCCACAAATCTTCATGCATTAGGACCATACGCATGTTGAACTTCCATTGGGTGTAATTTAATAGCCCATTTAATCTTTCTATAGCCGGAACAACGACCGAATTCGTAGTCGCCATTTTTCCTCAAATCGCTATTGAAAATTTACTTTACACCGTAAATCGTCACCGCAAGCAAATACAGTGATTTTAAATTAAAATATATTCACTTTACGCTCTGCTACCATGTTGGATAAAGCTAAATTAAAATAATCTGCAACAGGAAAAGACATCGGTTTTCAAGTTTTATTAGTAGACTGTCAAATATAAAAAGAATTAATATTACCATACCATTGAGGTTATATACTCTAACAATCTATACTTGACGTTCTCTTTGATCAAGTCTCTGACTCCTTTCTACAATGTATTGTGTTTGCAGTATAAAAATTATTGCTATTTACGTTACTGCAGTGTCGTTATATCTTACCTCTCTGCTTTTTCATTAATAACGTTACTTTCAAATTTATTTCTATACTAGCTTTTACCCGTCATTTCGTCGACGGGAACAGAAAACACTCTATATTCTTTTCCGTGCATATAGTACATGTATGTCAAATTTTATAGTGATTGGTTAAGCCGTTAAGGCAATATAAGATAACAAACAAACCCACTTTCATATTTATAATATTGGTAAGGATTATTTAGATATATTATCAATACATTGGAATAAATCAGTACCTAATTAGATTGCTCGGATTTTGATGAAATTTAGTATAACTAACTTCGCACCATCAATATAATGCAATCATCATATCAGTTCTCCACAATTAACTGTTCACTGCTGAATATAAGCGTCTCCCTGGGGGGGGGGGGGGGGATTGTCAGTGGTTGCCACGTTTAGCAGGCGCGTTGGCAATGGCAGTAATAGGCTTTGGAGATGTTTTAAAAGGGTCGCTGCTGCCCATCTCTCGCCCTCCCTTAGTCGCCTCTTACGACACCCACGGGAAAGGAATGGAATATTTATTTATTATTATAAAACATCTCATAACCAAAGGAAAACAACAACAAGGTCGAGAACACATTATAATATTATAATAAGTTTGAAAGTATCATTATTGAAAGAAGAGGTAAACTTCCTTCCGTTCTTTACCTTAATGTCACTCCGTATAAGGTCCGTAGAATTCTTACTAATATTACTTATAAATTTAATATGAAAATTAGTTTATTTGTGTTCTTGTAGCGCTTTAATTACTCAATCAATTGTTACGTGATATATTAATACGACAAAGTTGATAGTGACGTATATTTCGATTGACAATTGATTGAATCATTATCGTGATTTTAGCCATTTTAGGACAAGCCTTTGTTCAGCAGTGTACGGATAAAGGTGCCGGTCCTCTACCGTGCGTTGCATCTTCTTCCACGCACAACCATTCTTTGTAATCAACCAGCAGCAGTCTTTGCGAACGGTTACGACATAATAACCCTCAAGAAAAGAGCATATTTCCGACAACACACCTGCAATGGCAGTCACTTACCATCAGGTAAACTGCATGCTCGTTTGCCCCCTGTGTTGTAGAAAATTATATATAATAAAATAATCCTCGCGTTACCTAAGCTTTTACTTGTGCCCAAATAAAACCAACTGTTTGCGTTAAATATATTTAATTTATTTTATATTAACCAGATTCTCACATAGATACTTATTTTCGTATTATTTACAAAATACAATCATATTGTCATAAAACATTCAATAAAAATTGACTAGTTTTGATGGTATCTACAAAACCTATTTACACATGTAAGCTCCGAATTAAAATAGATATTAAATATCAGTCTGACTAGATTATTTATTTACATCTTTATATAATAACTTTGACACGAAGTTGGCTATCTACCTAGTATATTATTTTATTTATAAAAACATAGGTAGAGGGAGAGAAAGTGCAGTAAGTTGGAAAAAAAATGGAACAAACTAAACTAGTGGGAAGGGGGGGGGAATTAATTGTTAGTAATGAGAATTAGTAGCACAATTGTTAGTGATATTATGTCAGGTCTACCTGCACGCGGGGTCTCTTGGAAACCATCGTGATTAACTGCTGGTGAATTCCTCATGATGGATCAACTGACCTACTGTTATCTTCACCAATCTATCCATCACTTGTACCCCATCAGCGTAAATTAATAACACCATTCCAATCCGTTTATTAAATTATGTAAATTAATTAATAAGAGAAAATAATACAAAAAAAAAAAACAAACGAAAATGACTAGGACACACAAAAATTATTATTGTTATTTTGTAATTAAAGAAAAATTAACACATTCTCTAATATTTTTACAAATCTCGAAGCGAAATTAGAAATTATATGATTTTAAATACAAATATTTATGTAATTCGTACCTACTACAAATATGGATTATTTTTATTTTTAAGTACATGTATGGTCAGCACCAAAAGTCGATGAATACATTAAGAATCAATTAGAATAGATTAAACCCCTATATTTTGTAGCAAACTTAATACAATTGTATATATTTAACTAATTATAACCTTATACGATATATATAAGGTGATATGAATGAATTCACAGTTTACTGAGTTTAGAAAATCTATCGACTTTTGATGTCGACTGTACCTACGTCTATTGAACAGGCATCGAACCTGCGATCATTAAAAAAAGGGCAGTGTATTATATTGCTAAATCACCAAGATCGTCATAATGTAGACGTAGTTACTATGAATTATCGATACTCTTAATAAAATAAACTTGTTCGATGTAAACAGTCATTTTATAGTCTGTAACAAGCGGTGGCAACTACTGGCAAAACCTCCCAATAGGGGGAGGTCTATGTTCAGTAGGACAGTTAATGGCTGATATGATGATGATGATGATCCGACATCAAGTTGTACTTATATATTTAATAACTTAATTTGAAAAGATAAAATAAAAAAAAATAAGGTGGAACATGGTAATGAAATTACAGGGTACAAAGATATACTTAGAGGCAAGCATGAGGGGTATCATGGCCGAAACAGTATACTCTGTTATGTCCATGATACTGTTCATGTCTATAGGTAACGGTTTCAACTTTCCATCAGGTGGGCCGTCAGCTTGTTTGCCATTCTAAGTTGCATAAATAGAAAATACTAAATAGAGAGTTTTCTTTGTATAAATAATCAGAATTCTTGTTATATTAAACAGTAAGATGTAATACAAATAACGTTCTGTATAAAGATGTTTACTATCTGAGGAATCGCGTAATAAAAAGACAAGCAACTAGGTATTCTATTCAATTTGTTTAGTTACATTTTATCCTATCTATTTTGTTTCAAGTACGAACGAGTATGTTTAAATAACATTATATGGCAGTTCTTTGAGTATTTACCTAGTATTAAACCTTATTTTAATTAATTCATTGATTTAACTGATTTTCTATAAAACTTTATGTCAGTAGTGATTATAAATGTTATGTTTTGACTGTAGAGATATAAAAAGCTTACTGTATTTTGAATTATTCGACTAACAATCGGAAGTGTCTAATTATTTACTGTAAAAGTTCGTATATATAGTTTGTTTTATTAAAATTTAATGAAATGTTATAAATCAAATTTTGTTGAAATTGTCACGGAAACGCTAAATGAAAATAGTAACAAAGCAAAACATTTTATCAATTAATTTTTTTTTTATCTAAATTAAATCTAAAAGTTTATTGTGTTTATTATTTCCAAAAAGGTTCTGATTTCGGTTGTATTTGTTTATATTTGTTACCATATAACTCCGTCAATTCCAAACCAATTTGGAAAATTCTTCTTTTATTTCATAGGACATACTTACAAATTTGTTTCTTAGAAATTTTATCTAAATCGATTGAGTAGTTTAGTTTTTAAAACAAAATAACTGATTGTGTCACTTTGAAATCGGTGTTTGTGGGACGCAATCTTTAATTATGATTTTAATATATAGATGCAATAAAATATAAACGGACAGATCAATTACTTCTTTGTTTAAATTTTCATTATGTTTTATCAAAACAGACTATTGTAAATTTGATATTTGCCGTTATTTGCTGTCTAGCAATATAGTTGGCCAATTTTCTAGAATCTATTATGTGTATCTATTATACTGTTGTATTCTTAATTTGAAGTTATCATAAACGTGACACTAATTAGATATTTGTATAGGCATGGATAATATCTATACCGCTCCGATATCTGTACATTGTTTTTTTTTTTAAATTAATAGCAAAAAAAAGGTTATCACCCATTTTAATATCATCTATACCAGTCTGATATCTCCATTCGTTACAATCAGGTGTTTTAATTTAATATTATATATTGGACAACACTGATATATAACATATCTTGTATTAGGCAATATATAGATATTTTAACTTCAACATAGATATTGCTGTATTCACTCCTAATTTGTAATACTATAACGCTGATTACATTTGATTCCTTGTTTTTTAACAAAAAATCCTATTTTTCAGTTTTTAGGACGCTAAGTACTATTAGCAATAATTTTGGTTTTGAGTTCTGGTAAAAACATTTCAACGAACCTATTTTGATTATGAAATCGTATGCCCCCGCTGTATTTTCTTTTAACTATGTCGTTTCAATTAAAACAAACTTTTTTACACACAAGCATTGTACGAAGGTCAACGCAATTATTAAAAGTAATAATATAATTGTGATAATATGGATATGATAGGATATTTGTTATGTGTAAAGAACATAAATCAATTATAAAATAAATAATATTTAAAAGTTTAATTCATTATAAAAAAAAAAAAAACGAATCAACAAATATTTCACTCGAAACGCTCGGACTGGAAAGTTCTTTATATCTCCTTTCCTCTCCTATTTATAATACTAATTGGATGCAGTTAATAATGAGACTTGTTATTTATCGGATATGGTCGGTTTTCGTATTTGGATGCGCCGCTAGCTATGCTCGTGGTGCGTCCGCGGTGATAATGATCCAGGGCCGGACTCTACGCTAGAATCGCCCGCATACACTTCGGAGAAACCGCCTCCGCTGCCGCCTCCGCCGCCGCTACCGCCACCGCCACCTGTTATGATATTATGAAGGATATTGTTTTCTATACCTTCTAGTTACACAACTTGGAATGACAACCAACACCTTTGGTTAAAAAAGATCATATATTTTTTATGTAATATATAGATAGATACTCTTTATTGTTTCCTCCAAAAGATTACAACAGTAAACTTATTATAAATATAAATAATTACAAGAAATAATCACAATGAGAAAACAATGGGCGACCTTATCGCTAAGAGCGATCTCTTTCAGGCAACCTTTGGATGGAGAGGAGTATGTATATATATATATATATATATATATATATATATATATATATATATATATATATATATATATATATATATATATATATATATATATAACACATATACAAATACATACATATACATAATATATAATCTATCTTTCTATGAGAAAAACATTAAAGATTTGTTATTCATTCATCGTCATCATCATCTCAGCATTTGTCCACTACTAAACAGAGGCCTACCCTATAGACTGCCATAAGGAATGGTCCTGAGCCACCTGCATTCACTGACTCCCTGCAATGCATTTGAGGTCATTACTTCATTTAATGGGAGGGTCGTCCTACAATACGTTTGCCTGTACGGGGTTGCCACTCAAGAACCATTTTTCCCCATCGGTTGTTGGTTCTTCGAAGTATATGACCATCCCATTGCCCTCTTTATAGCACGCTAAGTATTTTAAAGCCTTTGCACACGGCAACCGTGTAGCAGAACCATTTTGGTTTCATCTCATTCATTCATTCGTATACGAATAAATAAGAAATAATAGCAATGTAATACATACTAAAAACTAGCTGAATTGAGACACTGCTCCCTTTAAAAGTTGATAAAAAAATACGTCACCGTGGTGGGACAGCGGCACGCAGTAGGAGGTTCCTGCGCAGTGGCGCGGCCGCACCTTCTCGTACCGGCTGAGCTGCTGCAGCTCGCAGTCGGAATGGTGCTTTTCCACTGTCACACCAAAAGACATTATATATAATTATTCCACAGCTTTATACGATATACTTACTATATGAGACGGAGAAGGGAACTATTTACCTTATTTATTATTATTATTGTCTTTATTTTGTAATGAAACTGGTTGTATTTTTGCTTTTTCTTTCTTTCTTTCTTTCTATACCTTAATCAACATATTTCTACATTGAATATTCATTTATACTTATTAAAATTATTTAATTACGATATTGTTCTTACACTGGTTCTATCATACGTTTTTAAAATTGTATCTTATAATCTGAATATAATAATTGTTTATAATTATAAAGAAAAAATGCTTTTATGTATAATTTTAAACTATCTACATATGTACCTACTTATTTCTGTGTATAGGCTAAACATGTCAATCAAAAATGTGTTATCTACTATGTTATATTGTTAACATCTGATTATAACTTCATTTACAAGCATTTTTCATAAACAAAAATCTTGAAATTTTGAAAATCAATTTTAAAAACAAGTAAGTACCTTTTCCTGTATATTTTTGAATATTTTATAGTTTTGTTCTACTATAAATTTTATTATATATAAGAATGTATTTCATTTTTTACATATCCCTGTCATTATTATGGCATGTGGTGTGACTACTTCTGAAATAGCAATCACTGTATTTTTTTAATTGGATAAATTTAGAAAATGACAATTAGAGATTCTGCCCCATTTTGGAATAACAGGATAGATTATGAATTGTTATTTTCTAAACTAATCTTATAAATATATAATTTTGAAAAATAATATTTTAATTGGTCTTATTGAGTAGAGCTAATATTAAAATAATATTCTCTAAATCAGGGGTCGCCGACTTGACTAGACCCAAGATCTGCTGTTTACTGACGAAACCATGCGCTGTCTACCAATTATATACTTCTTGAAATCTTTAATGAAACAACATAGTTGAGTGCACAATTATGTAGTATTGTAGTATTTTTTATTTCCTTAAGAGGGAAAACATAAAGCTGAAAATTATTCTTAGTAACTACTAGTATTGCGTGTGAGCATCTACTGGCAAATTAGCAAAATATTATATTTTTTTGCAACTGCTACTCTAAATGATCTCTTATATATAATAGAAACTTAAAAGATAAAATTTCAGAATCAGCCCACTAAGTATGGTAAAAAGACTAAAATATTACTCTAACTAAAAGCCAAATCTTATTGTAATATAGATAAAAACAATATTGCACTGACCCCAAATAATAATTGTGATAAGGGCAGGAAGATGATGATGATGATTACCCTATCTAATAATCTCTTCTATCTACCTGAACACTTTTTGAACCCCTTTTTTACGAGCTTAGAACTTAGGCTGAACCAAAATCTTTTTGCTACTGTAACACTTTTAACTGGTTAAATATAATGATTTACAATATCATTAATAAATATATTTTTAAATTAGATTAGAGAATGACTAATGATTAGAAAATTTTCATTTTCTAATAATTAGAAAATGACAATTTTCTGTTATGATGATAATAGTCTGATAATGATGACGTAAATAAATGTAAATAAATATAAAAGATGTAATGTAACATTCTAATTTACATATTGTAATGAGCTGGAATGTTTACCGTCCCTGTCGCGGTGTCGCTGCGGATGCTTCCTGCAGGGCCGGTGCGGCGGTGCGTCGTTGTCGCGGTGGCCAAATGTGCGGAACTGCAACGTGTGGTCGAGGGTCGCGGCCGTCTCGCCGCCCACCGCGAACGTCGCGTACGGACTTATCTCGTACACGTCTGTTATAAAGCAACTTATTATGAATGATTAAAGATCGTGTTCCATAAAAGAAATCGACTTCAATTGTGACAAAATTTGTTATTTTGATTAAAAAACGAAAGTAGTGAACCGATTTTGATAAAATTTCTATAGGATCAAACTGTAAATATATCCTTTCAGGTAAAAAAAGAAATTTTCTAAATCGGTTTAGATCGAGGTAACAAACATTAAGAAAAATACAACCGAATTGAGATCCTTCTACTTTATAAATCAGTTGAAAATAGCGTAACACCAAATTTTTTATCGATATTTTTTTGTAACTTTGGTATAAAAAACGTGCATATATAATAGGTACATATAAATACGACTACTATATAGTACTATATAGTAATATTACGTGTTATTTTTTGCATTACTGCGTATAACTTTACTATAATCTTCATCTTCATGATATAAACTATTAAGGGGGGCGAGAATGGGGGTTTGCTAATAATTACCACGCTTGGCAGGCGGGCTAGCAATCACAGTTAAGCTTTGGTGATGTTTTAAGAGGTTAAAACTTAGAGCGAACCAAAATCTCTTTGCTACTGTAACACTTTTAACTCGTTAAATGCAATGATCTTGTGTGATAAAAGACCAAATACTATACATATTTTTCTTTCAAATTTTCTTCCCTGCAAATGAATTAGATACAATTTCTTTTTGCAGTTTCTTATTGTTTTTTCTTTATTGTACGCATAGTGATAAGAACATTTAATTTCAAACGTAATGTACCTACAAAGGCGAGCTTGTTTCTAATAAGAGATTTCTTCTAATAAACCTTTTCATGTGAATTAAATTGTTATTTAAAAATAAATATAAGCAGTTATACGATTTGTGTACTTTACAGTAAAACCAATTACAATTATCTATATATTAATACATAAAGCAAATACTTTGTACACCTTTTTACGAAAATTGCGCGGACCGAGGAGTATGATATTTCGCACATTTATAGTTTATATAGAGAAGGAGTGCAGAATGCTAAATTTATTTTTTAATTATGCATAAACAAACATTAAATCAATAAAAAAAACAATACACACACTACTATATATTTTACATACACACGCACATATACTCTTTTGTTTATTGTTAAAGTGTGTGATCAAATTGAGACTATATTAATATTGTTTGTCTTTAATATTATTTGTTTTTTATTAACCATAAAAAAATCATTTATTAGAATACATGGTCGAATTACAACCACGGGGTGACTACTAAACATAGGCAAGAGAAATACATACAAAGTATAATAAACACTACATATTAACTCATTAACTCAGTTCATAAATTTGATTTCCACTAATGATATTCATGTTGTTTTGTAAGTGACTGTAATTTTTTAAATTAATGTTATTCTATCTATCTATATATTATTTACCAGAAGCCGGCGACAGTTTATCATGTTTGTAATCATGCTGACAATTCCGTATGTTCTGTTGCTCGGGACACACGGACTTGTCCGTGCTGGCGACGGAGTGGCTACAACGACGGGTCTCCTCATCTTGTTGAGTACCACATGGAAACAGCATGCTAGGGTTGAAAAAAGAAACGCATTGTTACCAATAGAAATCAGCATGAGACATGACAATGTGTGTAAATGTATTTTTCGGGTTATTTAAAAATATCTTACAATATAAAAACCACATTAGTGTGTGGATATAGTTTTTTTTATGGGTGAGAATGTAAAGGTAACCCCACCTGCGCTGCCTGTACACACTGACGGGGTACCTACCAGTAAGAGATGATAAGTGAGAATAAAAGCAGACCAGTTAACCCATAGTGAAAAGTTCCACAAGAATTAAGCCATGATGGTTTCCAGGGGGAATCGTATGGAAGCCAAACTGGTAGGGTATATTACTAGCAAATAGGCTGTTAGACCCCGTTACTAACAAAACTTGTCCCTGTGTGTGACATGTGTACGAATTTTATTTAGTCAGTGTTTCTGTAATAATTATAATAAAACTTGGTTGCATTGATCATAGTAATTTAATTTGCCAAATTTATATATTAAACTGATTTAGTAGTTAGTATAGAAAATGTACCTTCGCTTAGCCAGTAAGACTAGTATCAGCGCTGTGACTGCTATCGCAGCGAGTGCAGCGAACGCCACCGACACTGCTCCCAGAACGCGGTCGGCGTCCGCGTTGGTCCCACTCGTGATCACTGGACCACCTTCGCCGGATTGAAAAGCAACCGGTCGCCGGAGACGCTCTGTTTGAGAAAAAATATATTTATTTACTTATTAATTAGTGAAAGATATTTTTTACTTACTACTTTTTTTAATTGAACAAATATGGCAAAAATGGCAAAGGATTAAATACTTCAAACACATGACACACGCCCTGCATCATCGTGTGCAAGTACTCCGCAGTCTGCAGTCTTCAGTACGGACACGTGGCAGGACGTGGTAATGCGCGATTAAAAATTTTGTATGAAAACACATATATATATATATATATATATATATAAATATATATATATATATATATATATATATATAATATTCAATATTCAATATATATATATATATATATAATATTCAATATTCAATATATATATATATATAATATTCAATAGCTAAAATAGGTTTGTTTTTATGAATAAGGGGATTAAAATATATAAGATACGTAGTAGAAAATGGCCTATTCATATTTTAGTTAATACCTCCAGAGTGTGTTGTGGTGGCTGCGTATAGAACAGCTTGATGTCGAGCTGATTCCGTGGCAGTCCACAAGCGGAGGCCGTACCACGCGCCAGCAGTCAAACCTCCGATCACCACCTATTAAAATTTGCCACTCGGCTTCATTTAATTGTTTTTTTCTTCTATCGTTCATTAAACAATATGCCAATCGACGATTTTTCGTATTTAATAATATAGCACTGCAAACTAACACGCCAAATATGGTAATTGCTGGACAATTTAATTTTTTCAATCACAACACCATAATAACAAAAATTGAAATATTTTTAGTTGTTCCTGGAATCAAAAGTATTAAAATAAATTTTAATAATATACCACTAATTATTACCACTATTATTTGAAATAGTTTTATATGTTTTTTAATTAAATACACTAATTAAAGACAGCTTTTCTTATTAAAACAGAAAGTTTTGAAGCAACAATTGATAATTTTATTGCTGATTTGTTACAAACTAAAAGGTATGTTATGCTCGTTAGTAATCGTTCACGAAACAGAGAAGATAGTTTACTGTAAATATCCAACGTACAATGTAATTATTGTATGAATACAATAATATATTCATGATTCCATAGTAACAGTCGGCTGACAATGTGTTTGATTCAAAAGTTTCTCTCCCGCTCCGGTTTTCAACACCACCCGTGACAAATTTCCTGTACAAAAGTTTACAGGTACACAGAAAACTTGTTGATTATTTGCACAAAAAAGTTATTTTATTCGTCCCCGAGGGCCCAAATTCGAATGGAATTCTAATAAAGGTTTCAATTTACGCCTTGTTTTCGTCGGATTGGAATGTTAGACGGCATTTCTGTTCTTTGGTATTGACGTTTTGGATAAATTAATTTCCGGTTTACATCAAACGTGTATATGAAACCGTTGTAAACTATAGTTAGAAATCAACTGCTTAGACATGAATTACCGATATGCAATGTATTGAATTAATCAGCTGGCTGCCGAATGCAGTTGTTTAAATGTGCATTCTTCAGAAACAGTTAGGCAGTCGGCTATGCGCATTCTGCCATTCTAGTTAGGTCGTTGACAAATTTTTCATTGAATGCAGTTGAATTCACGCGCATTTCGCGCATATACCCGCATGTCCAGTCCAATGTATAGCGACTTGGGTCATTTGAAACAATTTTTGAATTGAACATAGTTATTTAAACAATTAATTTTCTACTTACCTCTCGATGATGATGCAACGAAGTGAGATCAGCGTCTCTCCAGACCCCTGAGCCTCCAGCATCTACTCTTCTCCATTGCAACCTGACCAGCCGAGCTCCGCACCGAACCGCTCGCCGAGCATCAACTGCCAGAGCACTGCTGTTACTCCATACAGCCGCTTCAGCGCCTTCTTCATTTTCGTCTACTTCCCCTCCACCTTCCCATACTAGCACTATTCCAAAAATATTATTATTTATTTTTTAATCTTTTAATTCAATTATTTATATTTTAATTTGAGAATATCAAATTGTAATAGGGTTTGACAAAAGAATCTTATTCTTGAAAAAAATCCTTTTCCAAAATCAAGCAATGTTCATATAATTCAGGCGACTTAACCCAAAGGAAATTAACGTTAAAAATTCGCTGAATTTAACTCAATTACACTAAACAACGCTTTATCGCTGTGCAACAGAAGTAATGAGTTTTATGTCACCTATTTTAGATAACTCGACGGGCGTTATCCTGTCCGAATTTTAATTTATTTTCTTTCCATAAAAACAGTAAACCTATTATAAATATTTAAAAACATTGAACGGCCCAGCCTTTCTCTATTATTGTCCCGAACAACACTAATGTCTGATACGTATGTGGTACTAATGATTTATCAATTTAAATTTTGGTTTACATACTTGTACATATATAAGCTAAGATTTATTTAGTACCTGCTTAATGTACAAATACTTACCAGGAGGTTTTGTCCTGACCAACAATGGCTGAGAAGGCGGAGAAGATCCAGCTCGGGAGTGGGCCACAGCTCTTACAGAGTATGTTACGCCACAGGACAGAGCTCTCAGCATAACACTCACTGCCTCTCCACCAGCTTCTAACCTCCGTTCCTCTTCTCCTCGCGTACTTGCCGGCTCAATGCCTTCTCCGGAATCATCACGGACCCGAACCCACCAGATTGTGAAGCCTTATGGAATATAATCATCATCATATCAGCTTTTAACTGTCCATTGCTGAACATAAGCTTGCAGGGGGATTTTGCCAGTAGTTGCCACGCTTGACAAGCGGATTGGCAACCGCAGTTAGGCTTTGGAGATATTTTAAGAGGGAAGCTGCTGCCCGTCACTCGCCCTCCCTTAGTCGCCTTAGAATATAATGCTACATTAATATTTTTCACGTTTAAAGGGAAAACATACCAAGGATAAGGCTGACACTTCAAACGAATGATTTTTCTGAACTTATTTTCTTATAGATAAAGTTTACCGTTATCTACTTTCTATATTAATTTTGTTACCATCACGTCTAGTAGGTAGCTACGTCTTTCTTAAAATACTACCAAAAGCCTTACTGCGGTTGCCAACCTGACAACTACTGACAAAACTCCTAGGAGGAAGTCATCACGATCAGCAGTGGACAGTTAATGATGATGATTTGTGTAATATATTTTATCCAAATTTCAAATTAAAAAACTGTTTAAATATAGTATTAAAGTAAAATATTATTTATTTATTCATTAAAATAATGTCTTTAACTTTTATATTTAGTATAAGTAGCGTATTGTATTACTTTTATTATACCATGAAAATAAACTATAAAATATATATAATACCTTCTTAGGTAATGAAACAATCTAGTAATTATTATATAATATTAGCACAGTATAAAAAACTCCTTATACTGTGACACTGGTAAGATTTGTTGTTAATAATATTAACAAGTCGTAATAAGTAATTTACGGTTGTGATTTATCTATCAAATTTTGCATAATTCGATCACAAAGTTTCATTACAGATTTCGCGTTCTCGTTAACTTAATGCGATCGTCGCCAATCTAAATTTTCAACACAAAAAAAAGATATATTAAAATTTGCTTTTAAAAACATAATATTGATTTTTATAGATACCTATATAAATAAAAAAACAAACATGATTTTACTTTTTCAATAAATTTCCTGTAAATGTTTGCAAAGCTATTCGTTCAAAGCTAGATATTTGTTATAAAATTATTCATAAACGGCTGAATGGATTTGAATGTTTTAAGACAAATGGATAACAAAATATTCTAAATTAACATACAGGATATTTTTTCATCAATTATTTATTTATTATGTACAATATACAAAATAGCTGTATAATATAACAATCATAAGCAAGAATTATATGAACAAATTATAATTTTGTAGTAACTAATTTGTAAACTACAATAACACTGGGCAACAAAATTTATGTCGTGCAAACACGGACTTATATTTTTTTCTTCAATGAGCGACTGTTAGTAAAAAATTTTAACTAACAGTAATTGTAATTTTAATTAATTATTTTTACTAAAAATACGCAATTAAAAAATCTATGGTCCAAGAATAAATTTATATAATTTAAATATGCCGTAAAAATAAATAGCTGATATTTCAAAAAAGTAAAAAATCTATCAAGGATGTACGAATGCACGGATTTTTTAATGACCATGTAATTCTAGACATAGTATATTTAAATAAATACACATGTTAGCAAAAATTTGAAAAAAATACTTGATTTTCTTGTTGGTTATTTTCAGCAGATAACAATATTCCGAACTCTGCAGTAAAAAAATTACAATTTAAAAGAGCTTGTATAAAAATCTATTTGAAAAAAGATTATTTGAATTTAATAGTTTAACATACCATAAATTGTACCTTTATTACATTGGCGTTTCTAATTATTGTGAGTATCAAGTTAATTACTTATACAAATATAATAGATAATTCTTGCGTGCAGCAGTGTCGTATATCTTCCATCATGTCACTTGGGCTTCATAAATAGCACGTGGGTCAATTCATGAGTGGCGGCGGAATTGTAAAGCTATTTATTTACACTTTATTGCACCAAGTAAAATGTATGTGATATTTGGTGCATTAATGTAATTCTAGTTCGCATAGACAGCGTCAATTTATGTGTGTAATTTTAAATTAATGTATAAATAGATTTGTTATATTATTTTTGTCTATCCAACTTAATATATAAGTGCTTTTTATAACTTCTATATTTATTATGTCTTATAAATTCTACACCTTTTTAATACGCTAAAACTCATTTTATTTTTTAAATAATTAAATATATTTAAGTCAAGATACAATGTGTGCGTAAGTATATAGAACACTGATAAAAAAAAACGAGTCAGCTAATTTGATAATTAGCTGACAAAAAGTTGATCCGTTTTGAGGCTGAATGCCCTATATATATATATATATATATATATATATATATATATATATATATATATATATATATATGTTCTGTCTATGTAATGTAAAACCTAATAGTCAATTGAAAACAGAATTAAATTTTCACATAGTAACATGGTGCTGTTACTGGTACATAAGTATATTACATATATCGCTCCTAGTTTCACATTATAGTCCTGAGGTTGGCAAATATATATTGGGGTTTACATTAATTTATTGACTACAAAATATTATCAAAACAATCAAGGAAAACAAATATATATTTATCTTCAATATAAGGTAGGCAAACTTACCGTGAGGCGGCGCGGCCGGGTGATGTGTAGTCCGCCATGTTAGTCGCGCTTCTTTATGTGTCGCGTGGTCCAAAGTGAGAGTAGGAGCAGATGGTGGTGTAGCGCACTCTATGCGGTACGTCACTTCTTCAGAACCAAATGCGTTACGAGCTGTACATGTATAGTTGCCACTCGTTGATGCGTCCACTTCTAGTTAAGAATAATTTTATAACATTAAGGATTTTAACCTTATTGAATATTAATTACATTATATTAAAATGAATACACAACTATGTAAACAAGACTAAGAGCTAAGTTACAAATAGGCAAATATGCAAAAGAAGCCAAGTTACTTCAATATCTAATATTGATGATGATGAATGAAAAATACAGTACAGCAAATGCTGTATTGTATCTTTGTCTGTTTCAAAGCAAAATAAACACACCGAGTAGCATAAATAATTTATCTATCAGAAATTAATTTATACCTATATATAGTTCTTATTAGTTAAGATTATAAGTCAATTAATGTACTTTGCCACATTTCTAATTTAAATATAATTTATTTGAAATGTGTAACTATTTGAATTTAACAATAAACTTTACCATGTATTGCCAGATGTCCATGAGGTGTGAGATGCGCACGAGGATCGTGTGTCACTGGTCGGTCTCCGCGTAACCACCGAGCTCTCGGTGCCGGTTCTCCTCGCCAGACACATGCTAGGCGTAATGAATGCCCACATTGTACTCTCGCCCATACACCGAAGGCAAGAAGTCTGGCTCCAGCTATGAAATGAGTGACATACGTATAATTTAAATATACTAAAAAGTACTACAACTAATAATATTTAAGATAGTAAATAAAATACACTTTTATAATTGTATGTAAGTGTATGAAAATGTTATATTGCCTCTTTGTGTAGTAGTGGCAGGCTGTGGTGCTGAAGGTTCCCCTTCGCCAGCTGCAGAATGAGCTGCTACCCATGCTTCATAAGTAGTGCCCTCAGATAAGGAACGCAATTCAGTCGATCCTCCCAAACCCACTGAAGGATCTCCGTCTTCAGCTTGAACAGTAGTTGTTTGTGGTGGCCTGTCCCTAAAATAAACTTCCACATGTATATTTTTAAATATATATACATAAATAAGTTATAGCATGGTGTTTATTAGAATGTTTCAAAATACTTTAATATTTTCATACATAATTTTTATTTTTCCTAATGTTCACAAAACAACAAACATGTTTCTGTATATGTACCTGCCCAGTTCTCGATAAAAAACAGTATAATAGAGAATTGGTCCATTAGGTCGACTTGGTGGCAACCAGCTGACAGCTAGAGACGTGACAGATGTCGCCACCACTTTCACTGCTGCTGGAGCACCGGGTACTGGAACAAATTTATCGCTGAAAATTTTGTTATCATGTAAGCATTATTGAAATAGTAATATAATTTACCATCTTGTTGTGTAGTGCAATGTATAGGATGAGCAGGTACACCGTCTCCAGCCGCTGTATAAGCTAATGCTTGCACAGTGTAGTTAGTGTGCGGTTTAAGCGCAAGTAGGAGCGTTTCTACGCCGGCGACGCGTTTAACTTCCGCTCCCGCTCCGGAACTCGGACCACCACCACCGCGAACTTCCCACTCCAGCCAATCTGTCGCTGCCGACAAACAACTGCCATCACTCAGCTTGGAGTTGTAAACATAATAATTTTAATCACTAAAGTATAATAATGTAAAAGCCAGTAAATAAATAAGCTGAAAGCCTGCCCTTTTATATAAGAATTACCTATTTTTTGCTGTAATAAATCTTCATATTTTTTTTTAGAAAATATTCTATTATATTTGTGTAAAATAACCTTCAGTTTATAAATTCATGGTTAATTAGTGAAATGATATTTCATACACATATAAAATTGATATAATATTAATTCGATCGATTAACAACAACCTTGGTATTGGTGGTGTAGCTTTTAAATGTAGATATATTTGTAGATAGTGTTATATCTAACCTTGGTATTATAAATAATTGGAACATATAAATTTTTTATAGGCTATAATCATACACGTACTTTAATTATCTGATTCGGTAAAAGTAGTTTGAAAGTTTAAGGCTATCCTTCTATCACCAAATATTGAGTGCATTTTTCTCAAACAATACCTATATATATATATATAAAAAAACCATTAAAATCGATCGAGCAATTTCGAAGATTAGCATGAACGAACATCGTGACACGGTGTTTTTTTATCCATATAAAGTGAGTACTGAACTGACTGTGGTCCGGTCGGTAGAGCAGCTTGTAGCCGAGCAGCGCGCCGTGGTGCGCGTGCGCGGGCGGCGGTGACCACTCCACTTTGACGCTCTGCGGCGACACCGCGCGGCAGCGAACGCCGCGCGGGCCTTCCGACGGCACTGCGCAACGGGGCAACAACCACCGCCGTTATTTATCATCATACATCATTATCACCATCATTATTTGATATTATCTATCCACTGCTGAGCATAGACCCTCCCCCTAAGACTGTCATAAGAAATGGGAGCATTCGTAATGGCAGTTTACTACTTAGGGGATTTCGCCAGTAGTTGCCACTCTTGGCAAGCGGATTGGAAACCGCAGTTTGTATTTTATAGATTTTAGTGATGTTTTAAAAGAATTGCTGTTGACCATTAAGTTCCATTCGATCATTAAGTTCCCTTATTTGCTTTTTATGATACCCACAGGAAAGGAGGGGTGGCTAATTCTATGCCGATATCATACGGCAATTTACATACTCGTATATGTACTCGTATAATCATAATATACAGTTTCAGTGCATCTTTTTTATATGTATATTTTTAAAATAGCCTAACGACTTCGAATTGCACGAGATGATTTCATTGCAGCAATCGATTATAGTCAAAGTAAGGCGACAAGGAAAGTTTGCTAAAAATGACGACTAATAACCTTATTAGTAACAACATCCTTATTAGTATCAAATTAACTTCCACCTAAAACGTTCACCTGGATACCATCGTGGTGAATTGGTCTCAATGGATCAAGTGATCTGACTTCATCTTCATCTATCATCGCTCACTGGTATTACGCCAGTGTATACCCATAACCCAGGTACGGTATTCTATTTTCAACATTCCATTAAAAACATAGTAAAACGCTTTTTGCCACGCCATCGTGTGTGACTCAGCAGTTTTCATACAATGCATTTAATACAATTTGTCGACTACACACGCGTTTCGCCGCGGGAGATTGCCAAGCGGTAGAACTGTTTACAAACCGCAAAGTCTTTGCACACGAAGGTGCAGCGTGTATGTTAAGCGCTTTATAGTGAAATTTAGACTGAAATTTAAATCATTAGTATCCTGTTAAAGAAATATTGTGCTAGTGAGACTGACTACTTCCTTAAAGAAACGTGCATCGAGAAACGGCAAACAATTTTTTAAGTCTCCCATTCTAGCATAGCTCGTCGAGTAGGCACTTTATTTTGATCATATAAATTAAAGCCATTTTGAAAATGTTCAGTTGCATTGATAGTACCTCTAAAAGATGCTAATGGTTTTGATTTCACCCTTTCTAATATGAATGTTTCTGTAGTGTTATGCTTATAGGTTTCAGAAACATGACATTTGCGTAGTAAAAAAATATACGAGAAGCGTAACTGAACTGCAGAAAAGTAATCGGTTAAGGAGCATAAACCAAATACGCATCTAAGGCGCTTGTAGGACTAAGATGGAGCTATTCTACCCTCTTTGTCTTTTTTTTATACAACTTAGAATAGCAAACAAGCTGACGACCCACCTGATGGAAAGTGGTAACCGTCGCCTATAGACATGAGCAGTACCATGGGCATAACAGAGTTTACTGTTTCGACCATGATACCCCTCATGCGTTGCCATTCCTGAGGACTCAGATGTTATTCCTCTGTACCCAGTAAATTCACGCCATATCCCACCCTTCAAACCGAAACACAGCTGTGCAAACACAACTGCTTCACGGTTGAAACACAAATGGGACAGAGGTATCCAAGCAATCGACTTATGTACAAAGTCTCCCTCTTATAAGTTGTTGTAATAGATAGGTACATGCTTGACCGTCTACACAACCCATAAGCCTAAGAATAGAAGACAATCTAAAGAAAATAAACAAAACGTTCTAGGGCAGATTATTAATATCGTAGTATGCTACTAATATTAAATTCTAAAATTGATAAAGAGTACATATATTAGAATATGAATAAAGTTAATATTTACTAACCCCCGCCCAAAGTGACTTAGTATGCTTTATAATTGCTTGGGTACCTCTGTCCCATTCGTGTTTCAACCGGGAAGCAGCTGTGTTTGCGTGGTATATGGCGTGAATTTACTGGGTACAGAGGAATAACACCTGAGTCCTCAGGAACGGCAACGCATGGGGGGTATCATGGGCGAAAGAGTAAACTCTGTTATGTCCATGGTACTGCTCATGTTTATAGGCGACGATTACCACTTTCCATCAGGTGGGCCATCAGCTTGTTTGCCATTCTAAGTTGTATAAAAAAAAATATTGTTTGGTTGATTTGAATAGTTGATTTCAATAGTCTAAATGAATTGTAATCATTATTAACTATGCACAGACATATGTAAATCATAAAGAATAATTTACGAGCACTTATTTTTAACATTATTAACTCGGCTACCTTGTAAGATTTCTTTTCACAAAGAGAATTTTTACGTTAAGATTCAAAGATAATCCCTTAGATCTTTTTTGCACTTTAGTCAGACAGTTTAATAAAAAATCTTAACTTTCTAAGAGTGATAAGCGATCTTGAAGTACTAGCCGTGCCCGCAATTTCTTTTGAAAGGGCATTATTTTTATATATCTGTTTTTATTTATCTCATAATGCTCGTTTTCATGTTGCTAACGCAACATAAAAACGCAGTATCTAATCTATCTCCATTAATTGTTATGTGATAAATTAACCGAAAAGTATATAAAAGTTTCATAAGTACCTATAACATTTAAGCATTCGATCTTTGACTACCCTATGAAGGATTTAGATAGACTTATTAAACTTCCAAATATCTTTACCTATATATTAATTGTAAAAATAAAGAAGTGGCAAAATATAAATAAGTAAATCCGATTAATTTTAAAGTGGCAATAAAAATATATTGTTTCAAGACTTTTAACAATAAAATATTCACTTCATTATATATATGTTTTCTGTCACGAAGATGATAAACAAGCGTACAGCCCGTCTGAGAGTCATCGGTCACTATAGCATATGAACGCCTGCAACACTAGGGGTGTCAAGTGCACGTTGCCGACCCTGAAGAAATCTTAATAATATTAGTAGAATTATTTAATTAAAATGAACTCACCACTTTCCTGTGTTAATGTGTTGACAGGGGCAGTTGCAGGCCCAGCACCGGCGCTGTTGAAAGCTCTCACGCTCACTGAGTACCTAAGAGAATTGCAACAAAAATATAACAATTAGAATATAATGTTGATGTGATGTAAGCCGTGAGTTTGTTTGCTATTCTAAGTATTATAAAAAAAAAACAGGACAAGTGCGAGTCAGAGTCGAGTACCGAGGGCTCCGTACAAATTATAATTGAAACAAAATTGCAAAATATTTCTCTAAATAATACCAAAAATACAAGCTCTGCTTAGTTTGAAACTAGGTGACGTTTTGCAAAATATTCAGTTTAGTTCATATTTACTTATTAGGTACTATTTATTTATTATTACAATCTTTGAAAAATTTTGCCAAGAGGACATTGTACAAAAATCGTTTCGATACTTTTGTCCCGGTCTTCGTGCCTTGAAGCAGCTGTACTTGTAGGACTATTGCGATTTGAGAGGTGGGATATGGCAGTAAAATTACAGAGTATAAAGACATAGCTTCTTAGTTCTCAGGAATAATAACCCATAAGATAATCACAGTGTATTATGTGATGGCCATGATTCATTTATGTCTCAGTCGACAATGGTTACCATTATCCGTGTGGCGAGCTGGCAGCTTGTTTGTCATTTTAAATTCCATAAACAGGGTTGTCACATACCGTGTGTAATGTTCAAGTCCCTCTATAGTATATTTGTTGATTAGTCCCCGAACAGTTGCAAACTCCATGCCCACGTTGGCGCCGCCTGCGAGCGAGCCGTCTGCTGACGCCCACCACCATACTGTGTACCCGAGTAGTTCACCATTCCATGATGATGATGGAGGCGCCTATTAGCAAAAAAATGTATTTAAAACACCCAAATACATTATTCTAATAAAATTTATTTATATTTAGATATATTTAATGCTCCAGGTGCAGTGAACGATAGGAAATTTTTATTTATCTATTTATTTAAACTTTAATACATAATGTATATATGTATATATATAATCAGGTGTCTATTTATCTCAGAAGTAACCGTTTACCATTAGACGGACTGTATGCTCGTTTGGTACTATAGTATTATGAAAAAAAAATTGTAAAATAAAAGTATTACGTTCAATTTCAAAACTCTTTATAATTATAATAACCCCTTTAAACTTACCTGCCATGCCAGCTCAATAGTCGTAGGCCTGGGCGCAGAAGCACGTAGGCTTATCGGCGCCCGCGCAGGCGGTTCGTGGAGCGTCAACGCTAACAGTGCACGAGTGTGGGCCGACGCGAACTGCGCAGTGACCGTCCTAGCCCGTACCAAGTACGCTGTGGCTGGCTCCAATCCTGTTATAGTTGCCTCTTCAATCCTAAATATATACAGAGTTATAAATACAGTATAAATATAGTAGTAATAAATACAGAGTTATATGTAATCTCCTAAAAATAAAAGATTATCTACAGATTAAATGCTTTTTGTAAGCTAATTATCTTAATTCATAATAACTGAAATTCCCTACAAATCTAACGATTAACGTGTGAAATAAATATATTATCTATTTTCAGATACACTATCTATTGTATTTTTAAACATCTGGGGTTTTTATGAATAAGAACGCAAATATCAGTGATATTATTATATTTTTGTATGTTAACTCTAACATAGATATAATATTAAAATTATGTTCTTGTAGTTGCTTTAATTGCTGTACCAATAGGCATAAAAAAATCCCTAATATTATCTTTTTTGTTCGGATGATATACTAATTACCTAAATATGTAAGCGTACTGCAAAATGAAAATTTTGGAATCCCTAGGCTATACTATTATTTTAAAATATGTGTCTAATTCATACAAGAGTTAACAAAATGACAAATAACGACTCACATGTCGTACTAGTATAAAAAAAATGCTTATAAAAATATAAATTACTTGCATAAAATTAGCTCAACTTACTCCGAATAAGTGTCCACAGGGTGAGCGGACACGGATACGTTTTGCGTGTCAGCGTCCCTCCACGAGTCAGGCGAGGTGGAATCATGCCGACGATATTGTACCACATAGCCCAGTACTGGTGAGTTACCGTCGTACGGCCTCCGCCATTGGAGACGCACTGACCTAGATGTAGTCTCTAGGACCCGAAAATTGGCGGGTGGCTCCGGCGGTTCTGTTAAGATATGAGAATTAATTTGAAATTCAAATAATCGAATTTTCATGTCATAGATAATTATTATTACTACAGCATATTATATCTGGCCGTGTGGTCCCGGCATAGAATAGACCACCCTTTCCTTTCCTGCGTGTGTCGAAGGAGACGATTTAGGTAACTTCAAAGAATGGGCAGCAGCGACCTTCTTAAAACATCAAAGCCTAAATGCGATAGCCAACCCGCTTGTCAAGCTTAGCAACTACTGGCAAAACTCTCATTATGGGGGAGGCCCATATTCAGCAGTGTACAGTTAACGGCTGATATGATGATGTTAATTAATATTATATCTAGTAAGCAATGATTCTTTAAAGGAGATACAATGTACATTCATGAAATAAATGTTTAAATTTCAACGTACTTGTAACACACGTAAGGTAGGTGTTTTACTTAATTATAATATTTTATATACATATTTATAATTTATATTATATTTATAATATATATAATTTTATTATATTTAATTTAAAACCATATCACAGAATATATAACAGTATTTATTTTGGTAGAAATAGATAAAATATTGCGGGCCCTTGCAGTATACAAGCAAAAATATCGTCAAACACTCGATTTATTAAAAAAAAAAATACAATTACTATCGAATAGGTAGGTACGTATTCAATGCTATTGGTAGACAACATTTCTTGTAAAATCTGAAGATAAAACAATTTCATTTCTAGCTACAATATAAAGAATTTACATCAAGATTATGGATTAGTTGTATATTATATAAAAACTGTAAAATGTAAAACATAGCATTTTATGATCCCATTAATTAAACGTAATCATAATTGCTACTGAAATTATACAAATTTCAGTAGCAAGCTACAACATATAATTATTTTATAGCTTTATGTTTAGGTATATCAGATCTGCAACTGATTGCAGTGCACCTTACAGGTATTGGAGTGCTAAAATGTGTAGTTGAGAAGCAATTCAGGTAAAAGGTGCACATGTGCTATAATGTGACTTGGATCTCCACAGTGCACTCCAGTGCAACGAGTTATCGCTATTTGAAATGGTACGACCGATTAAGTGATTAAATTCAACCCGAGAGGTGACGACACTTCTAATAATGAACTACAGTGTTGCAAAAATATTCAGTTTTCATTCTACTGACTAGCTGTTTTTTGCAGTTTCGTCTGCGAGAGCTGCGAACAGCTGATTTCGAGGAATAATTTCATATTGTGACTAAATTTTGAGAAATAATATCTTATTATACGCTCGCATTAGCCGTATGGATCCCAATAGTTGGGTAAAGATCTTCGCCCAGTAGGCGTCTACTGATGGACATCATCGCTGAGGCCGGACCAAAAACCGAAGGGGTAGTGTTTTAAATGCATTTAAGGGAGATTGGTTTGAAGTAACGCAGAGCAAGAAGCCGTTCATATTACATTACGTACAAAAAGAGTGATTGATATCAATCAAAGTATGTAGTAAAAAAAATTACAGTAAGTTCCTTACCTTGAACAGCCAGATGTACAAAGTGATCGGACCGTCCGTAAGGGTTGGAAGCCTGACACCGATACACACCGGAGTCTCTTCTGTCTGCCCGCTCTATAGCCAGTTCACTTCTTAGACCCTCAGCACTTCGAGTCTCTGATATACTCATTCTAAACAGGAAATATTTTACCAAGATTATTAGTAGGGGGAAATTTGAAAGCTAAAACTGCAAGGGTAAAGAGTTCAGCGGCTTAATGTGTAACTCACTTGCTAATAATCCTGGTATACAACAGATTTAAACTGATAGCTTCGCAATTGTAATAATAATTTTATTTATAAACCGTGTAAGTAAGTTTCTAATTGAAACAGTCAAGTTACCCTTAATTGCTAAATTGTCATTTCTAATCAGTATCAAATGAAAATTGTTAACAAGTGATATACATACTTAAGCTCTGGTTGCATTTAGTATTTAGGTTCGAAGAGTAAATGGTAATTAAATTATTGGGCACAGATGATCAATTTAGTTAGAGATTTATGATCTTAGTACACAAAAATAGCAACCTATGTGCCATATTGGTGACAATATTTATTGTAAGGTCAACAATACCATTATTTTTTATTAATGATAGATACAACTTCCGATTACATACAGACTGTCAGTTTGTTTGTTTTATAATAATTTTTATTTCATCTTACCTTTTTGTCATTACTTTCCATTAAGTAAAGTAATTTCATAAGAACAAAGAATCTAAGTGAATAAATAATCCCAGTCTTTATTCTTTTGGTAGTTCTAAATGCAAAATCAATTGTCGAATAAAGAGTGAGTTAAAATTACTAAATATAGCAATACCTTTGTCAGGCCTCTTTAATATTGATTTTAGTACTGCTTATTATAATAATATTGGAACTATATTATTGTCATGAATATTTGAAATGAAACAATACAATAATGTGTAATTAACGTGCCTATTTCAGTATCAATACCACATAATAAACTCAAACTCCTAGAAGTTTATTTTGTATGATTGTTATTCAAATGAGTTTGGTATTTGTTTGGTAAGTAAATTACTGTGAGTACCACTAGAACTGTTTCAAATGTCTAGTAATAATATCAAGTACAAAGTCTACGAGTTTGATAGCCTACCATATAATAACTTTTACAATCTCGACCTGTCTGGACAATTGACGTTGATTTTCGATAAGGCACCTTTGAATTGAAATAAATTATAATAGTTATTGTGAAATTGGAGACCACCTACTACCTGACGAAAATATAATTATAAATAGAAAAAACATTTCAAAGAAAACTAGATTCTAACACAGTGGCATAAAACAGAAATTTACAAATAATATAATAAAATTACAATCATAATATGTTTATTACTTATAGAGTTTGAAATTGAAAGAATTGGCATCCTTTCAAACGAGATTGCTACCATTTTTAGCATTCGATATTAACTTGATAGCTCAATACGCAGTAAGACTAAGTATATGGAATATCGAATATAAATTTATAATAGTTTTTATTTATATTTCATCAAAAAATAATGTTTAATAACGTTTATGTATTATATTTATATATTAACATATTATAACATATTAGGCATGGTTAATATCAATACCGCTTCTATATCTATATCTTCTATATTGGGTTTGTCTGAATATTTGATGGTGGAAAGAAGGAAACTTATTTTGGTATCATCTATACGAAACGGATTTATATATTCATTTTATTCAGGTATTTAGTTTCGATATTATACATTGGAGAACTGATATTTATTATAAGTTTTACTGGACGAATATACAGATATTGTAATTGCAATATACAGATATTATACATACATACCCCTATTATATATAAGTAAATTGCACCTACCTATAATCTGATTTAGGCAATGCCCGCCCAGAGTGACTCCACGACGTGGACAGCGGACTGTCGCCTCTCGCGACACATGCAAGCCTGATTGTATCTCCCAGTTTCGCCGTCACATTTGCTGACGGCGTCTCGAATCGTGCTGGCTCTACAAAATGCATTTGTATTGTTGGCAATTTTCAAGAGACTAGCTTATATTCTTATGCAACTTTTATATGATGCAATTTGTGAGAACAAACGTCTGTAGTTAAAGTACCTATTTGCCATAATACGTAATAAGTGGTATATTATATTTTAAGTTATATAAATATACCATTAATATACTACTATTCGATACATATATTTTCTCATAAGAGAATAATGTTATTCTACTATTATTACCATGTTAGTTAGGCAGTTTGGTGCAAAATTTTGCTTCAAGTTTTTCAAGTCAAGTTTAAGTGTTTCAAGCTTTCAAGTCTTTCCTTGTATTCGTAAATTAAGTTTATATACCTTAATTGTAAGATACATAGTAATTATCATTTAAGTAAACACTAAAAATAAATTCTTTATACAAAAATAAATATTCTTGACAAGAGCAAGTATCATTATTAGAAGCGAAAGTACTCAACTATCGTCGTTAAACTGCAAGACTCAATGTAACCTCTAAAATTTTACATTTATTGATTTTATCCATTATTTCCTCGTATTAGAAAAAGTAGATTCGTTCTTTCAATATTACTCGACCGTATTTATTTCTGGCCTCGATAATAATGCAATGTTGTGTCAGATACATAGGTGCCTATATATATTGTATAAAGTAACTTTTATATTTTGAAATGCACCAGCTATTTCTGCTGTCACATCTTGGCGTCTCACTGCGGCGCTGACTTTACAAAATACATTCTAGACTGAGATTGAAAATCGTACAATTCTTGTACAACGAGTTTAAAGCCTTACTGTGTATAATATACTTTTGTAAATGGAAGTTCTGACGGCGCTCGGAGCTTTTTCCATTATCTGTATTAATAGAAATTGTTTCAGTGAAACACCATAGATACTGAGAATGTTTTTAAAACTTTAATGAGTTATGCCACGACTCGGTTACTAGGCACTTAGGTAGGAATAGTTGTAATGCGTTTCTTAGTTTGAGATTTAAAAAAAAAATATTACTAATATTGTAACAAGACGATGACTTAAGAAAAAACAATATGAGAAGTCTTATTAAGATAAATAAATGCCAAAAGAATATTTTTGAGAAATTTTGACTGTATGTATGTTTAATCTCGCATCACCCAAAAACAACTGCACCAAATTAGATACGATTTTCACACTTGTATTTCTGAAGATGTAACTTAAAATCTGGTGTATGTTTTATCTTAATAAGTCATCTAAAATTGATCTATTTCATTAATTCAAAATCCAACGTAGCATACGAAGTCAAGGGCAAAGTTAGTTATTAATAATTATAGAACTAAATATAGAGTCGTACATACCATTAACATGTATATTCAAGGTCCTGGAGAGCGCAGGTGGCACGCCGTTGTCGGCCCGGCACCGATATTTTCCGGAATGCTCCGCGCGGGCCGACTCCAGCCTTAATGAGCCATTAGTGAGTACCACTGGGTCTGACACACCGCCGAGAGTAGTTTCTGTACTACCTATGAAATTAATAATAATATTTCATTATTCTGAGCATGTATTTAAATACAAAGCTTCATTATATGAGGTATTGTAGCCTTGCGATTGTCGTAAGTTCGATCTCCGTACCATATAAATATTTATAATTATTAATATGTCTGTTTTTTTTCTAAGTGTTTTTTTATGAATAATATGTATATTTAAAAAAAAAACTAAATATTTTTACCAGTAATCTAGACTAGATGGTGCTGTATAAAATATTCAGTATTATTTATTTATTTATTTGGGCATATATTTGTACTAAAAACTATATTATACATACTGTTGCTACCCAGACGATCTGTTTCGTTCACGGAAAGAAAAACACTGATGAACGACAAGAAATTAGTAAATTTATTTCCATAAGTTTAAATTCAATTAAAAGCATTCATATCAATACGTTTTAAAAATATTGAAGTAGTTTTTAATCTATAAATATGTATATTATTATTAATATTTTTATTTAAATAATGTTCATATAAAGATAACTGTATATATTATTATATATATCTATTTTCTGGTAATTTGTGAACCAAAAGGTTAATCATAGAATAAAAACCTAATAACTACCTGCCAGTAAAAAATTAAAAATATAATTTCAAATTTAAAATACTATATTAAGGCATCATTTTTAATGACCGATTATTTTCTTTTACGATTATTAACTTCGTAACATTTAGTCAAATAATAATAAAAACAAAATAAAATTGCCTTTATTATCACAGGAGAAATAGAAGAAAGAAAATTACTTGATTCCACCCTCAGTATATTCCTGCCATTTTCACCTTAACGGTTCATTAGGGGTAACTGCTCTGACCAACTAGATATCAACAAAACATAGATTTATTATCGGGTTCCTTATACGGAAAAATTAAGGACAGCATTTCTATTTTTCTTTTTACAAACAGTATGTATTTATTTATTTTTTTATTGAAATAATTATAACATCATAGTATTTAAAAAAAATTACTATTTAAGAAAATCATCTCTGTCGTAGCACCTGTACATATTAGTATAATTGTCTTTATATAAGTTTATATATGTATATTCATATGTATGCTTCCATATATTTTATATTATATATTTACTTGCGTTTATTTATTTCAGTATATCAATCATGAATCAATCAATACATATAATAAAATCGTAGCTGATCCCCGTCTGTACTTGAAAGATATATAAGAAAAACTATTATAGGAGGGGCTTCATGAACGCAATAGAACCCAAAACACCAATTTTTAGGATTTTTGTCTGTTTGTCTGTATGTTAATGCGCGCTAGTCTCAGAAACGGCTTAACTGATTTAAATGCGGTTTTCAGTATTGTGTTGCGGTTTGTTTCACTTAATATTTAGTGTTTGCTTTATTTCAATCGGTTCATAAATAAAAAAAGTTACATCAATCAAAAGAATCACATATAAAATGCCGAATAAAATAACCTATTAGTTGAATTGGCTGAAAATTTATGAAGATATTAGGTATGCAATTATCATTTAAGTATATAATATAATATAAAATCGCTTTCATGAAGGGAACTACATAGTAAGAAGCAGGCAACACCGCGGGAAACGGCTAGTTCTAAGTGTGTAAGTTTTTTTTTAATTTATATTATTCATATTACATTTAAATTTATCTTTAACCCTCTTTCTCCCTTATTTAGTCTTATTATTTTTCTGTTACGCCTTGACTAGAAACAATTTTAATTATGCCTCTCAATCCTATGATTGCGTGAAAGAGATCGCTTTTTAGCGATAAGGCCGCCTATTGTTCTCTCTTTATCTTGCTTTTATGTAACTAAGCATTCATTTTGTTTGTGTACATATTTATAATCTGTATCAATCTTCGAAGGGAACGATAAAATTATTTTTATAAATTAACTCATTCATTCATTCATAGCAATAAGAACCAAATCATTGTTATAATCTAGTACATACAAATTATACATATAATATACAAATAATACATATAATAAATAATACATATAATATACATATAGTAAATACAAAATTATGTTATCGGTATTTAACTCGACTGCAGATATTTCTGAGCCATATTTAATACCTTTGGTAATCTACTACTAAAAACATCACAGACTATGAATGGTTTAATGTCTAACAATATTAAAACTATTTTTATTATAATTATCTTTAATTTTATGTTGTAATTAAAATATTTTCTCTAAATTTTGATAAAATTACTATAATAATAAAGAAAATAATATTAATTAGTTAATTTTTTATAAATAGATAACATACAAAATAATTAAATTGTAAATAACACAATTTAAAAAAAAAGTAACAATATACTTGTAAGTATATTATGAGATTCAAACAATGTTATTGAAATAATAAAATCGAACAAAGAAATCCAATTACTTTTCCGATAAGAAAACTAATATCTTTTTTACAATGAAGAATCTCAAGTTACAACGTCAAATTGAATAATATAATGTAGAATTTTGAACGTAACACAATAGATCGAAAATCAAATTGAGTGTCTTTAATTAAATTGTACGTTATATATTTATAATAAGAAATGGTAAGTTAAAAGTCTCAGTTTAAATGTGTCAATTATCACTTACATATTGATGGAAAAATTATCTATTTTGAAATCATATTAGCATTAGGTACTTTTATAAATGTTAAAAGGTTATAGGATATATTTTCGCATGAAGGTTTCTTATTTATTCATGCCAAAATTACAGAAGGGATGTGAGTGGAATTTAATACACGAATAGGTGAAATTAGATAAATAATTTATTTATTGATTCACGTGGGCGAAGCCGCAGAATAGTTGCACCTAGTAGGTATATTAAAATGTATTTCTAATTTGAAAATGTGACATAAATATTTAAAAATATCGTAAATAATTTTAAATTTCACTATGACAGCTATTAATAAAATTACTAGTACCATGTGTACATGGTCCTCCATGTCGTGCGTTCAACAAGAATAAATCTTGCTATTCCCTTTCATGCTCTAATATAACTAACGAAACAGTTTCTTTTTTGAAGACTCGACCACACCAAGTACAATATTTTTTTTTATTTTAATTGATGATAATGGAATGGGCACCCCCCTACGTTATTAGTATACACTAGCGGGGCACCAATAAGGAATTATAAGTGAAGATGGAGCAGATTAGTTACCAATTAATCAATCAAGAGGGTTTCCAGAGGAAACCGCGGGGAGGTCGACCTGATATGGTATATTGCTATTAATAGAGTTTATTAATATAATTATTTATTAATATATTTATTTATATTTATTAATGGGGATAAGCCCATTATTAGCAATCCCCCAGTACAGTATAGTTGGCCAGAGATGTATATTTGTAGGGTCGCTTAGTAATTGATGTTATGGGTTATCCCTATGCTCACCCTAATCTTTTTGTATCTTTACATTATTAATAATATTAATTTTTCGACTACCCTGTGACTATACTTCATTAATATATACAAAGTAGATAGATCTTCCGAATGATAAATAGTTACCTAAAAAACTCATACAATAGTCTTAAGTTTCTAGTGATTACTACTTATACCATAATCCTACAGCAGCCACAATGCTGATCAGTGACTCTTTACATTCGACCTTCAAATAAACATTCTTGCTAACATCTCTGCTGTTAGTATTTTAGTAACTTTCCCACTTGGACAGTTCGCATATAACTCAAGACTAGCCTGTAGTGAAACAGTTTTGCGGTCTCAACGTGGTTCCATAAGTTCATAGTAAAGTTAGTTTATTGTATTAGTCGGTTTGATCTATTCAAAACGTCTATGTTGAACTTGCAACTGATATTGCAATAGTTTTGTTTTCATAAACTAATTCATATAAGTAAGAATCTTAATTGAATATATTAAATATATTTATATCAAAATTAAGTATATGCATGACATATAATCATTGCGTCGTGCATCAAGCAAAATTTTTTACGGGTGAAAATGGAATGTTTTTTTTTGTATTATCAATATACACTGACGCGATATCAATGCGTGATAATAAGAGAAAATAAAAGCAGGTTTACTGATTCAAAAATTAACCATCGTTGTTTCCACGGGGAATCGTGTGGAGGGCGACCTGATAGGGTATATAATATGGGGTTGTTTCCCCTAGCAACAGAGATTTTTTTAGAACCTTTGATATTTAGTTTTCTGTGCCTACTTCGATAAATCATATCGCATGTACGAGTATATACATATATATGTATATAAAATTATAAAAAAAGTTCTTAAGTTTTTAATTTGTTTTAAATTTGTAATTCTGTCCCAATTTAACTTTTAATATCTTCATTTATCACCAAAAAGAGCCACAATCATCATTTTAGGAAATTAAACGCACTCAAAATTAATAAATCAATTATCAACAGTTTTACGAAAGATTTTAATTTATTGTAATTATTATTGAACAATTATGATTTAGTTACCCAATTCCTAAAAGCGTTAAATGAAAAAAATAATTCCAGTTGAATAAATTACGGTTGTATTGATACTTACCAGAAAATTTTGTCCAATAAATCGCAGGCGGCGGGTGACCTCTCGCCTCACAGCTTACTGTGAGTGAACCGTTCAGTAATACCGCCGCATCTGAAGGCTCCATTTGCCAATATGGTGGTACTACAAATAATTTATTACATGATTTATAATACAGCTAAATTTATTCATTAAAGGTAATATCTTTTAATTGTAAAAGTAAAAGGATTATACATGTATTTTGTAGACAATTTTGAATTAGTTTTGGGACCATTCGCAATTATAAATTAAGGGCCATGATGCGGACGTGAGCCTGACTATACATTAAAATACACATATATTAATTTGGTTACTTTTTTAAAAGAAATACAATGGGATCCGATCCAGTGATGCCATTTTTCTTAACCTATCTCTTAACCGTTTTATGAGCCATCATAAATTAAAGTTATAATAAATTTTACTTAAATCTATTATAAATTTAGTTCATATTGGTAAAATTTTCCCTACTACATCAAATTAGAGTAGAGAGAGTCGACCTCTCTCTACTTTAATAAGATGGATAATACAACTCAGCGGGCAACTAGGTAGCTATCTTGCAAGAATTCATAATTGGATTTATCATTATTGAAGTCGATGTTTTTTTTTTTGTAGAACAAAATCTTAATTGTATTATCCAAACAGAACTTGAAAATTCAGAGGATTCAATCTTGAGATATCCGGACAGTTGAGCGTTGTTTAATTGAACAGTCAGCACTATATTATTTTCACTAGAATTATACTACTAATATAAGTCAAAAACTAAAAATTGTAATTAACAAAGTACCTTTTATTGCTAACTCAGTGGATGTGTTAGCTTTGCCAGCGGTGTTGGTTACAACGCACGTGTAGACGCCGCTATGAGCGGCCGTCAAGCTTTTGAATATTAGCATGCTGTAGAACTCGGCGCCACGTTCCTCTACCTAAATGTTCATATTTACATAGAGAGATACCTACTCTTTATTGTTTTATTCAAAAGATTACAATAGTAAACTTTACATAGATACAAACAATTACAAGAAATAATCACAATGAGAAAACAATGGGCGACCTCATCGCTAAAAGCGATCTCTTCCAGGCAACCTTTGGATGGAGAGGAATAATTATAAAATATAATAATTATATTATTTTTATTATGTCAGCCGTTAACTGTCCAGTACTGGACATAGGCCTCCCCCCAAAAGGGAGGTTTTTGCCAATAATTACTACGCTTGGCAGGCAGATTCGCAACTGCAGTTAGGCTTTGGTGATATTTTAAGAGGGACGCTGCTATCCATCACTCGTTTATTAAATTCCCTTAGTTGCCTTTTACCACACCCACGAAACAGAAAGGAGTGTCCCATTCTATGTCAGGATCACGGCAAATGTTCATTTTAAATTCAAATAACTATGTAAAAACAGTTCATGATAATCATTATACACAAATAAAGCTAATAATAAAACCTCTACGGAACCATAAAACTAGACTGTTTTAAAATACTTACAAAATTATTCTTTCGTAATTTTTACCTGTAAAATACTAGAAATGGGCATCTGGTCCTTGAGCCAAGAGAAATAAACAGGCATATCTCCCGAAGTGACACTGCAAGTCAATTGCGCGCGGTCTCCAGATCTTAGTCCCGGTGGAAACACGACAGGCGAGAGCACTGGAGGTGACACTACTGTCACTTGTACCTGATAAAAAATTAATAAAAGATTTTTGATTCCTCATTTAATTTTCAAGTGTCAAGATTTTTATATATTCTTCGGTATACACGAAGGTCTCTAATATAGTCTACTAGACTAGATCTCCAAAGCAATGTCAATAATTTTTAAAACATAGTTGATAATAAATTTGTAAATTAATTAACTAAATATTCTGTTATATCTACTAAAAAGTGATAAAAATAATAAATAATATATAATTATCTAACAGATTTACACATGTTTTTTTTATGTATGCAATTGTGAAATTTAATGTTCAAGTTGTTAGTGGATGAATAAATAAATAAAGGATTAAACATGCATTTAATAAATACAGATTTTGGCTCTGTTTTCTTTTGGATTGACAAAGGTATTATTTTTTTCAACCATTCACAATTCACTACTGAAGATAGTAATCCCCCAATAGCATCCATTAACTTGTATTAAAAACAAACCTTCGCTCCATCTAGATGGGAATTATCTAAACAACCTTAGCAACCGTTAACAACCCCTAACTAGACGAAGCAGGTTTATCAAATTTTTTTTTATACAACTTAGAATGGCAAACAAGCTGACGGCCCACCTGATGGAAAGTGGTAACCGTCGCCTATAGACATGAGCAGTACCATGGACTTAACAGAGCATACTGTTTCGCCTATGATACCCCCCATGCGTTGCCATTCCTGAGGACTCAGGTGTTACTCCTCTGTACCCAGTAAATTCACACCATATCCCACTCTTCAAACCGAAACACAGCCATGCAAACACAACTGCTTCACGGTTGAAACAAGTACCCAAGCGATCGACTTTTGTACAAAGTCACCCTCTGGTATTATTTCGGAATTAACAAAAAGTAACCTTAATGATCTTACATTATATTGATACCATAATGTATAGATATTACTATTATTATGTGAGAAAACTATATATAGATTGTTGAAATATAAAAACGATGTAAAATTAATAGAATTTTAACTGTCGCCATTTTAATTGCATACCTACATGTATATTAATTTGTATGCAATATTAATTCCCAATTCAAATTAAATAAAAGGATTAATTTTAAAAATTATTAATTAATTTAATTGCGATACTGGCAAAATGACGCACTGTCTTTTGTTTTAAAAAATATGTGCTTCAAATTTCTTTTAGGTAAAGTGAAGTTTAGCTGATTAAATTTTGAATCTATATAATTTAAGACGTCAAATTTGTAATCTCCTCTTGAAAATTGTTAAAAAAGAACCTCCCTCTCGGTGAGGGGGAGTTTTCATAAAGGCAATCGCAATAAGGCGGTCAGTTTGAGTGGAGGGTGTTTGCAATGTGTCGCAAGAGCTGTACTTACTAATTAATGTGCTAATGAAACAAAAGCAACCGCATAATTTATCTGGCGCGTAAAATTTAGAATTAGGGGCGACTAGCTAGCAACGTATTCGTATGCTATACGAGATAATTATTTTATTTGCTACTTATATAACATTGTATTGTTACATTTAAACTTTGCGAAATAATTTGTTATAACATACCTAAATTTTATAATATTTTCCCATATAAATGAGAATAATGGTTTTTTAATGCAACTTAGAATGGTAAATAAGCTGACGGCCCACCTAATGGAAAATGGTAACCGTCGCCTATAGACATAATAATAATAATATTTATTTAAGAAAGATACAGTTTTATTCAACGAGGAAATATCTGCATTACCATCAGTCCCCAAACTAGGCCAGACCTGTATCTTGGGGACTATAATGACATGAGCAATACCATGGACATACCAGAGTATACTGTCTCGCTCATGATACATGGGGCGTTGCAATTTCTGAGGACTCAGGTGTTATTCCTCTGTACCCTGTAAATTTACTGCCATATCCACCCTTCAAACCGAGACACAGCCATGCAAACACAACTGCTTCACGGTAAAAACACGAATGAGACAGAGGTGCCTAAGCAAATGACTTTTGTAGAATGTCTCCTTCTGGTTAATCACTATACCAAATACTATTCAAATTCTATCAAAGTCATTCGAAGAATTATTTGTATGATAGATGATTAGTTGTAATGGTATCGCAATTTTATCTAATCCTAGTTAACTACATAAATATAAGTTTTGTCTATTTTGGTCATAAACACCTTTACAAAGACTTATTTTAAATATATTTCATTGTTATTTTTGGTGTCCAATTAAAATTGGCTCGCTCCTATCCAATAAAATTGTTACATATTCAATATATGAACCTGTTTATATGTATGTGTATGTAACTAAATTAAGAGAAGCAAAATAACTTATTGCATATACACTCAAATAAGGTTTGTTATTACTTAAAACAATATAAATTCTTATCAGTATACCGTAACACCTTTTGAGCCTATTAATGTATTATTCTGATTTAATTTGAAAATTAAAGTCTAAGCAAAGTTTTAAAGATTAATAATAGCCATAACTTAAACTTTATTAATAAAGTTGAAGTTATGGATTATATCCTTTAAATTATCGAGTTACTGTATTAATTACCTCTCTCTTGGCTAACTCTCCACCAGGCGTAAGAACTGAGCAAGTCCAACCTCCTTTATCCCGATTGCGGTCCACATTAGATATAGTCAGCTGTCCGTCTAATTGTTGGTATCTAGGATCGATTCCCGCACCACCTTCCCACTTCACGGATCTGTATTTTATATATTTTTTTTTATTACATTCGATTTTAGATTTTTGCTATGAATGCAATAAATATAAATAACCAATATTATTGTAATGTTAAAGGTAAATTAGAAAAAAACAAAAAGCAATTAAAAAACGTGGGCGGACAAGTTATATGTTTATTTGCCACTTTTCGGGTATAAAATAAAAACGAGTATAATCTGTTTTTTTATTTAACTTTTCATGTTTATCAAACAATTTTGGCATGGAATTTCTATTTTACCTACTACTACCTGTTTCCCGTGACTTTGGCAACGTGAATAAGTATATAAAATATCTGTGTTAGGTTAGGATAAACCTACCCGTGTACCAAATCTCATTCAAATTTATTCACCCATTTCAGCGTGTTTCAGTAACAAACATCCAAACGTCTTTACAAACTTTTACATTTATAAGATTAGTAGGATTAATTGCAGAATTAAAAAAAAAAATAACAAGAATCTTTATAAAACACGCCATCTATAAAAATAAAGTAGGTAATTATACTAGATTGTAGATTGTATACAGGGAATAAATTAAAATCAAGCCTTAATAATACATGCTGTTATTTTAATATCATATAGCAAGCAAATAAATGTTAGAAGAATATGAAAATAAACTTACTTTATTGGGAAACCATAGTAAGGGCACCAGATTGTTACTTCCGACCCGGCGACAGCTTTGACGGGATTCATGGAGCGAATGTACGGGGAGCCTGCGGAATTGAATATTGTTTCAATACCAATAGTACATTTTCTCAAGAAATACCGAAAATTATTTGATTGATTTCCTATTTTTAATATAAGGATAAGGTAATGGGAAATTTGCTTTTATGTAGCTATTTATACCTACACAGTCAGACATGAGTATGGAGATGATTTTAATATATATATGGTGGGGGGAAAGGGATTGTTAGTGATGGAGACTGAGAATCCCATTGCTAGCAATATACTCAACCAGGTCAACCTCCTTGCGGTTTCCCCTGGAAACTATCATGGTTAATTCCTAATGAATACATCATGATAGGCTAACTGGCCTGTTTTCATTCTCAGCGTATCCCGTTAGCGCAGGCGGGGTTACCATACCATTTTCACCCAACAAAAAAATATATGTATGGTATATTATGTATAATATCTAATATTGGATATAAACCACATCTGGTAAACACGATATAAGTCGTATGTAATGTCTATTGCCTTTTCTGTACAGATTTTATATTTCGTCATTGTCAAAAATCACGATATAAGTAGTAGCATTACATACATACCTGTCACACCTGTCTCCCATTAGGGTAGGGAGAAACGATGGACGCCAAATGCCGTCATTGTCACGCCAAACAGACCTCCTTCACTTCCTCCACATTCATCGATCTTTTCATACATGCTCGCTAGCGGTGCGTGAATCCGAATGATTTTGTTATTCGAATAATTAGTAATTACTAATTTTATAATTCGACTTCTACTTTAGTATTTTTTATATTCGAATGATTTTTTTAATTAGTGATCCGATGTGAACTACTAATAACGAAAACGAAATTTTTTCCCTACCTCCACTACCTAAGTGATTAGTAGAAGCGTTTAGTGAATGAAATTAGTAATCGAATGATTTGAAAATCATTCGATTAATTCGAATGAATTGCTTAGTCGAATAATTTTAGTAGTCTGATTAGTAAATTCACGCATTGTAATGCTCGCCGGTTACGGATATTTTTAATTTGACCCTTCTTGAGCTGTCCCTACTGAAATCTCCATTTATTCGTGTTCAATAAATCTTTTTACCATCCTCTCCAAATGACCACTAGATGTTAGACTACTTGTATATTTATATTTTAGTAATATTATTTTAGTACTATTACTTATAATGTGGTTATATCGTGATTTTTGTAAGGAAATAAATAAATTTTCAAGTACTACGTATTTTTTTGCATAAAATTACTCTTCAGTAGTCTGTGTTTAAATAAAAAAAATATAAGTGATAAAAAGAGTGATCATAAAATTACATAGATGTGTAAAATATTATATTTGCTTATGTAAATGTCAGGATAATAATTTTCACTACAATATATCTACATACTCGTACGTTACGTGATGCAAATACGGTATGATTTGCGACATATATATTACTCACTAGATAACATTTAGGTAATAAAAACTAAATAAGTCATTTAGGAATTCATATGCATATCAATTATCTATTCCCCATAACACAAGTACTGCTTAGTTTAAGACTAGGTGGCACTGTGTAATTATGGTAATCTTACCGGAGGGAAAATGTACAAAAATCGTCAACTTGTGTACCTCTGTCCCACTCGTGTTTCTTCGACGAAGCAGGTGTATTTGCATAGTTGTGTTCCGATTTAAAAGGCAGTAGTATTATCTGATGTGGTATTGAAATTACAGAGTATAAAGAGATAACATTGTAGTTCTCAATAATGGCAACATAAATAAGAGGTACAATGGGTATCATAGTGTATTCTGTAATGCCATGGTATTGTCCATGTCTGTGGGTGACGGGTACCACTTTTCGGTTGATTGTCAACTTATTTGCCATTCTAAATATCATAAAAATGTCAAAGGATATTTATTAGTATTCATACCGTAAACATTGAGACGGGCTGCATGAGCGACGCTGCCGTGGGAGTTGGTCGCTCGGCACTCATAACGACCCCCATGCTCAACACGCGCGCCGCTCAAGGAAAGCGTTGACAATACGTAATTATTGCCCGAGCCTATACCGGCTGGTCCATTCTCGCGGCCTTCAGTTATGATAGTTCTACAATAAATATAAATACACGATTAGGTAATTATTTTGTTAAAAATATTAATAAGTATAATCAATCACATATACCTATACTTCTATCTAAGCAAGTGCCAAATTAATGTTCACGTATCAACCCATTGATCACATAATATATATTAATTTTAATTTTTAATCATTAACTGTATTAATTACCAGAGGGAGACTTTGTACAAAAGTCGATTGCTTGGATACCTCTGTCCCATTCGTGTTTCAACCGTGAAGCAGTTGTGTTTGCATGGCTGTGTTTCGGTTTGAGGGGTGGGATATGGCGTAAATTTACTGAGTACAGAGGAATAACACCTGAGTCCTCAGGAATGGCAACGCATGGGGGGTATCATGGGCGAAACAGTATATTCTGTTATGTCCATGGTACTGCTCATGTCTTTAGGCGACGGTTACCACTTTCCATCAGCTGGGCCGTCAGCTTGTTTGCCATTCTAAGTTGTATAAAAAAATTATTATTAAATTACGAATTATATACACGTTGAAGTTTGTTGAAGTGCTAGTGGTTTTTGTCCGTTTGCAAAAAATCAACAACAACAATTTACCAAACCGAAGTTTCCCGCCAACGGCGCTTGCCACAGATAAAAAAGGCATACTTTTTTTTTCAGGGAGAGAAGGCAAAGATATTTTCATATTCAAATTAAAACATACCCCATAGTTATAAATCTAAGATATGGTTATTTTTTTTTGTAATTATTTCAGCAATTTAAATATAATAGCAAAATAATGTGTACAACTATTTTAACTGTATACAACAGTCTAATAGTTGTGACTATAGATCAATACAATTATCGAAAATTCTTGAAATTTTATACACTATATGATAAGAATTTATTTTTAAAAACTAAAAAGAGAGAATAGAGTTCTGCGAAAACGAAGTCTCGGTATTTTTTTTTTCGTAATATATAAACTAAAACATAAATTAATTAATAATTATAGAAATTAAATGAGTACGCAATATCGTATTCATAATGTATAACATATTCATAGATATAGTACGTATATTTTGTATACTCACTGACTGAACAGATCAATTATTATACAGAATTTAGGTTTGTGGTAAAAATTTTAAATTGAATAGTTTGCTTTCGTGACGTGATTACCGTCATGAAAGCAAATCAGTTTATTAATCATAATCAAATTATTAAAGGTTTATTCTAAATGATCAATGAATGAAATTGTACTAAAATATAAACAAATTACCCATGATGCGATGGAATGGGTTGACCATCCAACAACCACCTAAACCTTGGGGGTGGCTCCCCCACAGCTGAACATTTCAACGCGACCTGCGCGCCCGGCTGCACCGCTTGCTCGATAAAAGTGTACACCAACTCTGGCCTCGAATCTGAACAAATTGAAAAAAAGAAAGATTATCATTAAATTAAATTTAAATTTAAGCATTTTTGAATAGTCTTTTTTTTTTCATTAAAATACTGCCCGTTCGGAACGCTATTTCAGCCACGAATAACTGCACAAAATTCAGCTTTACATTTTTTTTTTAAGTTTAATTACCTGTATAGATAATACATTTGTGTAATTATGATACTAGAAGGAAACTTTGTACTACTTTTTAACTTTGGAATGCCATGTGCTTGGGGTACCTTGGCCCCGCTCGTGTTTCCACTGCAAAGTAGCTGTGTTTCGGCAAGAAAGGTGAAATATGATAATGTATTTATAGTACACATACTGTATAACATCTGAATTCTCCTTAGAACCATTCTTTATCACAGGATCATGCAGAAATATTATCTAATAGGCGGACATTATATTACGATATCCATGGTGACGTTCATGTCAGTAGACGACAGTTACCACTTTCCATTACGGCGTGAGCCGTCCTTTACTATTACAAGTTGAATAAAAATTAATTATAATCTAAAAAGTCGTATCGCATGTATGCCTTTAGAAAACTTACCTGAAGAACGTTTTAATCGTTTTCGTTTGAGAAAGCGCTGGTTACTTGTTTTCTTGATTAATGAGCACCACAAAGCTAAAACAAAACGAAATAGTAAATAAATCATCATTGAATGAACTACAGTGTATACTGGAAATTGGGTTTAAATTTATAGGACTCTTATCTTTACTTGCTTTTAAAATACGTTGTACCTGAAACGAGAAGTTAAATTCAATTCAATGTAAGCATTCGAAAATCAGTGTCCATTATTGAATATAGGAGTTAGGTTATATAATTATAATTGCTTGTCTACAACACTGAATTTTTATCTAAATACTCCATAGCACAAACGCATTAGGTTATAATGTACCTATTTTTTAGAGTTCCGTACAAAAAAGGTACAAAGGAAGCTTTATGGTATGACTTTGTCCCTCCGTCCGTCCCACCTGACTATCACAGCGCTATATCTTACTAACTACTAATTCTATTGATTTGAATTTTGGAATAGTTTAACATATTGAAAAGGAATGCAGGTCAGTTGACCATGGCAAATACGACAAGAATTAATTACGATGGTTTCTAGAAGGAACTGAACTACATGGAGGTCGACTTTATAGCTAGTAGTTATGATCTCTTAGACCTCATTACTAATCCCTTTCCCCGGGGGAAAGGGATTGTTAGAGGAGTAAAAAAGTAAATGGAGTTTGACAGCCCCATTGCTAGAAATATGCCTCATTAGGTCGACCTCCACGGGGTTCCCCCTGGAAACCATCGTGAACAATTCTTGTTGAATTCGTCACGATGGGCTAACTGACCTACTTCATCCTCATCTATCATCCTTCACTGGTGCCCCGCCGGTGAATATCAATAGCGTGGGGTTACCATTCCATTATCAGCCGTTAATAAAATCCCTTTCCTCACATTAGGTACATGTTAGGTTATTAGTAAAGAGACAGGAGTAAATATAAGTAGTTTGCCATAATCACAGCTTCTCATACATACATACATACATATAACAACAGTTCTCTATACAAAAAATGTTGATAGTTGATCATCTTCCCCTAAAAAAATGAGTTGAAAAATAACCAAAATTTTGCGATCCCCATATCATGATACGTCTAGCTGTCAAGTTTGTATGCCATAATCTGTGTTTATTGCAACAATAAACATGAATCGTAACAATGGGTGAATATCTATTATCTACCTCTTTAAAAAAGATCCACGCTCGACAGTGAGACATTAATAAGTTCGTATGATAAGTACATGAAATGTTCTTTATTCAAATAGTACGAAAAAATATAACGTATTTTACGAGTACGCAATAAAATCGTACTAGCGCTCCGTCAGCGTCCTGTATAGTAGTACATACATATATATACATAGTACGTGGAATTGAGGTTTCGTTGAAAAATTCACTCAGCTTTTCGTTTTACTATCCGCATTCGTTCGGAATTTATAACGCCGTAAATCGTAAAAGCGGGCAAAAAATTTACAGCCATGTAGAATCCTGAATTGCCGAGATAAACCGAAGCCCCGATAGCTTTGGCTTATCTTCCACCATAAATAACCTCTATTTAGATATATTTTTAGCATTACAAGTTGTGTACGCGATCTGCAAAATAATTATGAGTTCTATAGAGACAATAGCCACTCGATATCAATTCGACCAAATTTACGGTACCGAATATATTCAACATACTTGTACTTGGTTCCACTGTCTTTATTATTTTTCTTTATAAACTATTTACGCCGATTTATTACGACCAGTTGCGAAACTTCATTTTTATTTATAAATTTAGGTATAAGTGGGTGTTTCTAAAAAGAGACAACGAACTAATGTAAGAATAGTAGTTGTAGGATAAATTGTTTTAGGTTTAATATTAAAACATACATTTATATTTTAACATATATATATATATTAAAATATAAATATTGTAATATCTTTTTTTTGTTTTAAAAATATGATTGTTTTTATCAAATTTAAATTGCAAATTGAATTTTATAGAAAAATTATAACAGAATTTAATGCGTAGTCCCGGCATAGAATGATCCACCTCTTACTTTTTCGTAGATGTCATAAGAGGTGATTAAGGGAATTTAATAGTTGAAGAATAGGCAACAACGTCCCTCTTAAAACATCACTAAAAGCCTAACTGCGATTGCCAACGTATGTATGTCAAACGTGGTAACTACTCACAAAACCCTCGTTTAAGGAGGAGGCCCATGTTCAGCAGCAGATAGTTAACGGCTGATATGATGTTGAGGATAACAGAATTATCATATTACATATTATATATTCGATATAATGAAATTCCATCAAAAATTCACAACACAAACAATGAACTAGATATACGGTAAATCAGAATACCTTGCATGAGTCATGCAAAGATTTATGTTACGACTGTGTTCGCGTTTACTTCTGCAACTTTGTACAGAAATCTGAGTTTCCGAAATAATCCGCTAGAGGCGCATTTACATGTAAGTTTTCAATACAAATAATTTGATGTAAACGTAAACGCTGTGATAATCAAAATCTGTGTTAATTACACCAGGAACTCGCGATTAGGTATCATAGTTAGCTTACTTTACTTACTCTTTTTCGTTTAATGTTACGAAATTCGGATAGTAGTTTCTTAATCTATGCTATGTGGTTTGTATATTACTATTGTGCGACACCGTGACTGACTCGTAGGTGCTGGTTATTGAGAGATGAAATTATATCCCGATGTAGTACCAATTGTGCACATTTAATTCTACAACGAAAATGTACGATTTTTAAATACGTGTTATTAAATATGTAAATATGGACCTGAGTACATAGGTACTCAGGTCCATATTTACATGCATTATTGCCATTACATAAAAATTATGTCGGATTGCAACATTATTATTATTAAAAATTTATAAACTTATATTTAGACATTTGAATGTTTGTTAGTCAATTACGATAAACGGCTGAAACTATTTCAATGAGATTTTTAAACACGTAGGGACCATATCCTAGATTTAAACATAGATATGGATATAAAATTTTAAAAAAAGTATATAAGTATATTTTATTTAATAGAAGCAAGAGTTTATTGTTGAATTCTCTAAAGTTCGTTCAATATCCAAGATAATAGGATAAGTTTCTAAGTATTACATTAATCTTCTTGAACATTCTAAACGAGTTCCGCACCTGAAATATTTTACAAAAAGGAACTTTCTAGCTAGCGTATTTCAATACAAGTTACTATTATTTTAATTTTATACCAACTAAAATTAGTTCAGATATAAATATCTATAAATATGACTGGAAGAAATCTCTTTTAGACATAAGTTTACCTTTGCTAACATTGTTATTAACTTATTGTTGTTACTGTATATTTTAGTGTAATAAAAATGTAAAATAATATATATATACAAATGTGTGTGTGTGTGTGTGTACATAGTACTTACAAACTCATTACTTGTCAAATTTAAGGATTTACTCCACAATAATAAACCGTGATAAACAATATGGAACATATATAGGAGAAAACCTTATCTCATAAAAATAACTGTCAAAATTGATTCATTGAATAAATTAAGTTCTGTTTTATTGAGACCTGTACGATTATTTGACCTTATTTATTTCATCATCATCTCAATCATTATCCGTCCAAGGCCTCCCCCATAGACCGCCATAAGGAACGATCCTAAGCCACCTGTATCCACTGACTCCCTGTAAAACATTTGAAGTCGTCACTTCATCTAATGAAAGGTCGTCCTACACAGCGGTTGTCGCCACTCAAGAAATTTTCTAGCCCATCGGTTGTCGGTTCTTTGAGCAATGTGAGTAGCCCATTGTTGCTTCAGTTTGCTTGTCCTTAAGTTTGTGTCAGTAACTTTAGTTCTTTTGCAGATATCCTCGTTTTGGATTCTGTCACGCAAAGCAACTGCGAACGTAGCCCTCTCCTAAGCTCTCTGAATAATTTGAAGCTTTTGCATACGAGCAACGGTGTAAGATCATGTTTCGGTTCCATAAGTCATCAACGATTGACTGCTTTTGTGGCCTTACTCAATTGGCAGACATAACGCTAGCATTCGTCAGATATATCTTCATATCTTAGCCATTAACTGTCCACTGCTGAACATAGGCCTTACCTATAAGGAGGCCAGTAGTTGCCAATCTTAGCAGACGGGTTGGCAACCGCAGTTAGGCTTTTGGTGATGTTTTAAAAGGGACGCTGCTGACCATTCCTCAGATTCATTCATTCATAAATTATTCGTCAAACATATTCCAAATTGCTAAACTGCAAAGTTTAAATACGTTGTCAAAGCCACGATATTTAAAATAAAAGCTTGCAAAAACTATACAAAATTCGTAATAATCGGCAGAAAAATATATAGATTTGTGTACCTACACGTTTTTCTATTGAAAAAAAAAAAGACGTACCATGATTTGACGTATGAAAAAAGGAAACGGAGGCCAGTTCACCTCACACCGAGTCACACCCACAAAAAGGGGGAACAACGAAATATCTCAGGAACTATTCCAATTTGGAAAGTTTCCTTTCGGGCCAACCGCACTTGGTTATCCCGAAATGGACTCTAAAAATTGATTCCGGATCTTTGACTTCCAAGTTTGAAGCAATTAAACTTAGTAAATTCAATTATTGAATAATAAAATCAACATTCAGTTGGCATTATCAATATCTTAACATTTTAGATTAAAGATAAATATCTTGAAATAATATTAATTACATACATTTTGACCAATCTATATACATACCTATATAAACTATAAAAACCAAGTTCAGATTAAAAATTCAATTAGATACTCCGTAATTCATATGAAAAAATAAATACATATATATGAAATATGTGCACCCTATATTTTCCATCTTTACTCCAGTAATCCTAATATAATATAATAAATACGAAAATTTGTAACGATGGATTAATATTTGTTAACCTTACACGCAAAAACTACTCAACAGATTTGAATGAAATTTGATACACGGGTAGATTATATCCTAACTTAGCATATAGAATACTTTATATACTGACTCACGTGAGTGAAGTCGCAGGATAAAGCTAATGGAAAATATTTTTTTAAATTGTACTAGCTGATC